CTACCTACCACTGGCGGTTCTACAGGTCGCAGGTTCAACTCTTCGAGTTGACGCAGGTATTGTACACAGGTAAGTTGGGAAACTAGGGATCGAGCCCTGGGATCTGTCTCAGCTACCACGAATTGGTGAATACCGTTTCACCATGCCCGAAGCAGTGCCGGCCAGTAAGGTGTAGGCGGTCGATAGTCCTCCAATCTGTTGTTCCTCGTCCGATTCCTCCTTCCTGTAGTTATTACCCATTCTTTATTCATTACCCAAAACAGGCCTGACATATCGTTCGGAGAAGGTACCGGTGCTACAGATCTGATGCTATCCAGGGCCAGCTTGTTCCAGGCGCTGTCTGGGTTGTATTATTGATTATTATTGTAATTCTCCTCCCTCCTCTCATTGTCTATTCTCCCTTCTTGCTCCTCTCTTTGATGATTCACTGGCTTGAAGATTCAATCACGTGAGACTTGGACATGGTGTACTATATGATATGCGCTGGTTTCAGACATTGCGATTATTTCAAATGTGCAGGTTCCAGACATTACTATTTGGTTGATTGCTTCTCAAGGAGACTTGGGCTCATTGCATTTGTTTCTTACTAAGATTAGTATCCTGCCAGCAAGGCAGGGGGGTCTGAGTTAATAGTGCAGTCAAGCACAGTTTCTCATTTGTTTTCCTTTTTTTTCCCGCGATTTTGCTTTCAATTGATTTTTTTGGGCCCACCAGCCTTTTCCCTCCGAACCTGCACCAGCCCAGATCACTGTTCATTTTGCCACAGTCGAAGTCAGCTGCGTTTTGGTGAATAGTAGCGGTCAGTGAACTGATCTGAAACGGTACTCACCTGTTCGCAGTAGCGAATGCAGATCCCAGGGCTCGATCCCTAGAACATTACCTGTGTCGACCCCAGGAGTTGAACCCACGACCTGTGTCTGTTCCCACAGTTGGTAGACTGTCGTAGGGTCTGTAGATGATAGGGGTTCGATCTGTAGACCTGTAGCATAGTGGTCTTAGGGAGTTCTAGAAGTCGTAGCTGTAGGACCTCTGAAAGGTCAAGGTCGTAGCTGCTACAGTCCTGAAAGGTCAAGGTCGTAGCTGCTACAGTATCCAAAAGGCCAGAGTTGAAACTTCCGGAAGGTCCTGGTACTGGCCTTTCGAAGCTGCGCACGTTTAGGCTGAGGCAAGTGGGCAAGTGGTGGAGTCTACCCATGCTGAGTCAGCGGTCCCAGTCCCAGTCAGTCCTAGTCCAGTCAAGCAAGTACCGTACGGGACTGTGTGCACCACCGGCATGGGAAAGGGCCAGACCAACGAGCTACAGAAGTATAAATCAAGAGGCAGCGCCCAGCCATTCATTCATTCCTGCGTAAGCCATGCGGAAGCTCTGCCACAGCGACTTGTGCGAGGTGGTCTGCAGTGAGCCCGAAGACGAAGCGGGCGAGAAGGAGAACTTAGCCATAGCGATAGGGGTAGCAGCAGCCATAGCCGCCATAGCTGATAGAAGAGTGTAGCATGTGTGAGTGCGTGAGTCTACAGTGTGATGCGTGTGGGATATCCAGGGTGATCCTGTGTGTTAACAGCAGCGTTGAGTGAGTGAAGAACAGAGATTTGTACAGGCGCTGATGCGCCATAGCCATCTGAAGTGAGATTGTATCTGAACTGTGTTCCTGGTTACCACATCTCTGAGTTTTGAGTGGGCGCTTGTCGCCAGTTTGCTGCGCAACCTGTTTACATGTATGTGAAGTGTGAAAAGAAGCGAGTCTGATTGCAGATCGTTTAAATTCGTTGCATTGCGCAGTCCAGCCATCTGTTTATATAGCCCTGCTTGTAACCTTGTGCTCGTTGTAACACCAATTAAAAATCAGTGAATCATGCCACTCCAACAATGACAGAACTACAGACAGATGATCACCACTGATCAAGCATGATATCTGGCACAGGCTATCCAATTCGAGGACAAAAGAAGATCCATCCAAAAAATGACGCTTGCCTGGGCATTGATTCCAGGCATGTGGAAATCCATTGAAGCAATTGTCATCAGTGAGGGGTGTGGTGAGATATACATGCTTCCAGACCTAGAGCATGGATACCTCACCAGCACCCTAATCGCATGATGCGGAGCACTCGCACAATGCCACGTAGGTATGCAATGTGCAGGTAGCGTAGATATGAAATGTGTAGAGCCTGCAGAGTTTCACACACAAGTGGAAAAATCGCATAAGGAGCTCTCTTGCACGAAACAACTGGAAGCAGGAAGTTATAGGGACACAAAAGAATCTTGCAAAGTTACAAGCACTCATGGCGTCACAGTTACATCGCAGGACTTTTCTTGCAAGGACATGGCATCACAGGAGGAGTTTTCTTGCAAGGAAGAACTGGAAGGAGGCTATGACAAAAAGTCAACAGCAAGTGAACGGTGTGGCTGTAGCTTGTTAATTAAGGGCCTACCTGGCAAGTGGCAGAACATCTGTAAGCAATCCTGGAGGTTTTGAAAGCCCTCCATCCGTTGATATGCTTGCTTTTTGAAGCCATTCGCCAATATTCTGCACAAGCATATCTGCAGGGTGCACCTGGGGATTCTTGGCAATGACGGGTATATCGCATGCAACAGTATTTCTCAGTGTGGTTAAGCAGCTTCTAGGGCTCAATGGTGAAACGGCCCCACTTTCCCTGGGATCATTCATTGCTGCCCCCTCTCTTGGATGCAAAATCCCACCACAAGCCGTTTTGACAGCACAGGTTTCCTGGGGTAATGTCTCGCTTCGTTGCTGGCTGCTTGTCAATCCTGGTCGCTCACCATCAACATCATCCTGTGCGCTGCTCCCTTCCAGAATGTGTTCTGCTGCGGAACAGTCTGATGACCAGTAATTTGCAAGAAACCTTGAGGAAGCTGCCATGAGGCTGAAAGGAAACTGGGGTTGAGCTAGAGCTGAAGGCTTCCTAAACCCCTTCTCACCAGGATAGAGCCTCTGTGAATCATTGATGGCATATGAGCAGCCCCATCGTCCTGTTGGTGGCGCTGACAGACTGGAATCCCTATCTCGCTGGACCATCTGTCCAACATTGCCTAGGGAAACATGGTCAACACTGTCGCCATCCCTGGGAACCAGTCTATCTGCATCAGAAGCCCTTTCGACAGCTCCACCTCCACATTCATTAAGATGGTGCCGCCCTCCCGCCCCTAATCCACCAGAAGGGTCTCTTGCCTGGAGAGACAAACTCTCTGAAGCTGCTGCCGTTCCGGTTCCCTGGCCCGCTGCTGTTGCAAACGAGGTGGAATCTTGTAGCCGCATCGCACTAAGCTGGTCCTGAATTGCAATGTCTCTCAGTGCTCCAGCCTTATCACTGCCATCTACCATTGCCGCTCTGACAACTGATGGTCGGCAGTGGTCTCTGCAATGGACTGGAAACTCTTCATCACTGCAGTGTGGCATGGGCTGATGTGTTGACAGCTCCTGCACTTGGTTCAAGGTCAGCTCCTCATCAGATTTACCTGTCACCACTTCTGAGAAAGACGAGGAGGATGCATTTTCAATCTCTCTGTTGGTTTCTGTGAATGTAGGCAACAGTCTACGCTTCTTTTGTCCGTGACCCTCTAATCCAGTCAAAGCAATTCTCTTCATCATCGACTTCCGCTTTCGTGTCAGCCGCAAACCCTGTTTTTCCTGTGGTATTTCCTGAGCTGTTCCTTCATGCTCTTTCGCCGATTTTTTTAATTGCATCCTGCCAGTACCTGTCTTCTTTTTCCCATCATAAACTGTCTGCCCCTTCTTCCTTACTGGTTCAACCAGGTCCGTGCTCTGTGCTATTTCTGTCTCCGAGTCCCTGCAAAATCTGTTCATCACATCCATCACATTCGAGCTTCCTCTTGAGTCGATCTCCTCGCCACTTGAGGCACTTAGCTGGCCTACCGCCTGAGGAGCCCTCTTCGAGATTCTGGATTGCATCTGCTCATCCAGGCTCCTTGGCACAGAATCGTCAACATTATATGAATCTGCTATAACTGCTTCTGCTAATTGCTGCCCCTCCTGCTCAGAACTAGAGTTAGTGACTGCTGCCGCAGTAGACGAATTGGCGGCATGCATGACGTCCTCATCACATACATTCACAGCTGGTACCTTCATTGCCTGGTAGCTTGACTGTGTCAGAGGCACTGGTGCTGTTGCTTCCAGACCCGGCAAGGATCCTGCAGCCAGATGTGAACCAAGCCTTGGTTGTGGAGTGAGCTGCGAGAACTCATGGGAATCCCCGTGATGGCTCACAATGGGGGAAAAACTCCCCGAACACGGATCTGGTGACGGAGCATCAAAAGACAAGCTTGAGGGAATATCAGACAAATATGAAAGACCTGGGCTCCCTGCCTGCCAAGTCCCAGTCCCAGGTGAGAGCGGGCTTAAGTATGGACTGGATTGCAGCACTGTTGATGGCAACATACCCTCGTATGTTTCACTGCCAATGGCAAACCAGGGTGAATCATGGATAAAGCTGGTAAGGGGGGTATAATGCATATTCTGAGGCATAACACATTCATCACCAATTGTGCTCGAAAACTTGACGCCATCCAATGCCCTGTTGCAAAGCCGCATCGGTGGTTCAACAGCCGTGTCCTCAGTGGCCATCGTATTCGATCGACTTCTTAAAATACCTGTATTTGTCGTTGGCTTGGCCTCCACCTTAGAGGACCAGACAAGATGAGCCCTAGCCACCATCTTGTGATTCTCTAACACCAGTCTTTCTGTGTGTGTCCGTTTCCTGAAGCAATGCAGCACAATGTTGTCCTCCCTCAGGTTGCACAGAATTGCTCTCCTACTCTCACCACATCTACCTCTCCCTAGTTGATAGTAATCGGTTGTGGTAGATGCTCGCAGCTCTGCTCACACCATTTTCAATGTCTGATCAAATGCTCAGAAAACTTTTGGAACAAGCCCCCATTGCTGATTTCGTTCGCGCGAGCAGAAGATAGTGCCCTTTTCCCCCTCTTTTTCGTTCTCCCCTGCTGGCAGTAACATGCGGCAGATCCTATGTCAGATTTCATGTCAGATTCCATGTTAGACATGCATTCAACTGTTTCAACAACTCCATTGTGCTTGCCCATCAACTGTTGCCCCACTGCCAGCTGTCAGTGGCAGATGGCTGCTCTCACCAGGGTTTTGTGGGAGAAAGGAGTGAAGAACAACTTGCCTGGAGTTTGGGACACAATATGAGTGATTGTATGAGATAAAATGGACAGGATGAATGGATGGATGGGCTGGGATAGGATGAATGGATGGATGGGCTGGGATAGGATGAATGGATGGATGGGCTGAGATTACAATAATCAAAAGGTAACGATGAAATTTGGTTAATAACTCCAGGAAGCTACTTGGCTCGTTGAGTGCTAGCCATTGAGAATTTGAGATGTGTTCCTACTATTAGGGCATACTCACACTAGGACCCATTTCACTTCTCTACGGACGTAACTGCGGTCAGGTGCTTCCAGGCTGGGTCAAAAAAGTGGCCCATATACATCCAGGAAAGTCCTAGTGTGAGAATGCCCTTACAGATTCAGGTAGATGATATAGATTGGGTGCAGGTTTCACAATTCAGTCCAGGGCAGAATATCTTCAGGTCTCTCTTTCTTTCTCTGAAGTATAACCCAGGTCTTACATGACGGGCCCACTGGGGACATGCGGACGGCTGGGACGGCTGTTGGCTTTTTCCCCACTGACCACATGAGAGCCCAGTTGTTGTTTTTTCCGCGGTCGTATACGTGTGCCAATTTTTTTTTTTCGTTTTGTATTTTTTGAAGTTTTTTAAAGTTTTTTCTAAACAAACTTTAAATTTATTACAAAATTCAATGATGACGCAGGGGACCTCACAATTCGAGGAACAGCTGTTACCAATGAGCACTCCTACAGCGGTCAAACCGAGCATTGGGGAAATAATTTCTCTGAGGTTTGTGCCAGAGATCTCCCCGCAGCGGTGTTGCGTGCACATGCACGACAGGAAAATTAAATACAACATTGCACTTCCGGATGCTTTCATTCCCGTCGACAGCTTCCAAGCTCTTACAGAGAACGGATTGAGGCTCTTACGGATCTCCATGTCCATGCAGAACAGAGTGGATCCACTCAGCGACATCAAGGTCGATCAAGAAATATCGCCAGGCTTTCTTGCGGGCCTGAATGAGAAGCTCCCCACAAACAAGAAGCTTGACTCGATTTACATGAGAAGCATGCTAGCACAGAGATGGCCCCAAGCTTCCATGTCAGGCAGGGAACCACACAGAGAGCAGACCAGGGGTGCAGCACCGACAGTCGCACAGTCTTCAGCAGCAATGCACCGGATCCAGCAGGCGCCAGGCACAGCAAGGGTAAATGGACAACCTACGGGCAGTCTCTTGGAATGTCTGTGGGTTGGGAGATGCCACACACAGATCCAAGAGAGCCAGGTTGAAATCCCGGTTGCGTAAGCATAGAATACAGATTGCTTTGCTGCAGGAAACAAAGTTATGTGAAGGAAAGGTAGTGGGGCTGACTATCATATTCAAATTTTTGGATTCGTTTTAAAGATTGCAATCAGATTTGTCCCGATTTCACTTCCAACATGCATACATGCAGGTGCCGATGGTAAAACAACTTCCTCAAAGTAGAATCAGCAACAAGCGTGAGATGGCGCAGTGCGCCCACAAAGAAAACTCAGAGATATGGCCTTCGGACAGGAACTCAACTCAAGTCAACTTGTCACATCTTGCGGCTATGGCGTCTGAGCGCCTGTCTGAAATTCCCACCCGAACACTGTATCCACCATCAGACACAATCACACTCAGTCACACATGTACACAAGCACTAGGATCTACCCTGAATGTCTGCGCACACATACACACACACGCACACACTAACTGCTGATTTCGTCACACTGGCCGTCAGTGTGACGGATATGGCTGCCGTTGTCTTCCTCCTCACTAGCGGCTATGGCCGCTCGCCCTCTTCCACCTCCGGGCTTCCTGCTGACCACCTGTGAACATAACACACAAGTCACTCAGGCAGCGCTTCCACGTAGCTCCCAGGCGAATGAAAATGAATGGCTGGGCACTGCCTCTTTATTTATACTGTTTCGCTTGGTGGTCTGGCTTGCCCAGTCCCAGGCCCTAGGAATGTGCAGTCCCACTCTGGTACTTGCACTTGGACTGGGACTGCATATACCTGTGACTGGGGACACTTGACCTTTCGGATATTGACGGACTGCCCCTTAGGACTGTCAAAGGTCAAGTTGACTCTTCGAGGACTAACTAGGCTACTTTCAGAGGAAGTACAGCTAGAGCTACAGACGACCTCTAGGACTGCTAAAGAGATAGGTCTACGGCTCGAATCTACACGACCGAGACTACACGCGCAAAACAATTGCACACGGGTTTAGGGACAGATCGCAGGTTCAAAACGCACAGGGTCAACGGGCAAATATACAGTGGGCTAGTGAAGGTCTAGGGATCGAGTCCTGCTATCTACAATTGTTGAGCGAACTGGGTGAAACCCTTTCACTCCCACCGTCCTAAATTCGAGGTCCTCCAAGAACCCTTTAATCCAAGGCAGGACCTTTTCCTTTTCTTGCTCTCTCATAAGCATGGACTACATTTGGGGCAGATTCTAGAAGTTCTATCCTGGTGAACCATCTGTCATCCTCACGTTCCTGGTAAGCAAACCTGACTACTGCTTCTGGGGATGATCTCTACCTCCGGTTCGGAATACATCTTCTTCTAGTATTCGGTCTATGTCATAGGTGCCATCCATATCTGGCGGATTCATTGATCTTCGCGGAAGAAACTTTTGATTGGTGACACAAGGTAACAACTTCAATGCATGGAAGACCAGATATGTACGGAGGTGAGGTGGAATCTCTAATCGTATATGATGGTCCATCCTCTCCACCTTAACTTCTAGGACAGGCCAGAACCCTCTATATGTGGGCAAGAGCTTATGTGAGATGTTTTCTTCTGGTGCAAATTCCTTTGACTTGACTCAGACTAAGTCGCTTATTCGCTTGTTCAATCATGCGATGCTGGGCTGTTCTAAGGTTTGCAATCACCTTCTGAACTTATTTTTCATGCTGTAGAGCAAACTCTCTTGTAGTGGGTGGTAACCTCTGGATCTGGTCCCGGTTCAGTCCTTTGAACGGCCTATGCGGTCTAAAGGACTTATGCAGCTCGTTAGGCGTTCTGCAAGTAGCTAGGTGTACGCTGTTGTTGTAGGCACTAGCTACTTTGGGAAGCATCTCGTCCCAATTCACTTGATCGGGTCTAATATACATTCTAAGTAACTCCTGCAAGATCTTATTCATCAGTTTTATCTGGCCGTTTGTCTCTGGATGACGATCGGATGACATCAACCGCTTAGAACCATAAACCATGAGATCTTGCCAGTTCTGGCTGGTAAACAGCGTGTCTCTATTACTAACTATCGACAGTATGCCATGCTCACTTACCCAGAAATCAAAGAACTTCTCTATGACTAATTCGGTTCTTGCCTCTGCAGGCAAAGAGAGACGGTTAACGGGGGCCCAAATATTCGCCGTTTTCGTTGGCAATTGCGGTGCGAATTTCATCAAAAAATTTTAAAACAAACGATATGAGACCATAGTGAAAAGATCAAAAAAGGAAACAGGCCAAAAAAAACGAAAAAAAAAAACAAAAAAACACTATGAAACCCTAACACAAAGTCACTGTCCGAGTCAAAATGAAGCGTCCAACGAATTCAACAAAATGCAAACTTTTTCATTATTGATCCAAACATGTCAAAACTGCACACATGACGTACCCTAAAGCACATATATATCACACAAAAAGAAAAACAAGAAAACAAGCAAAAAATCAGCACAATATGACAGTTTCAGTGCAATTCGGTGCAAAATTCATCGAAAATAACACCCCTGGTTAACCACGTGTGTCTAAGAAGACATGGAGGTGCTTTTGTCGTTGTCTTGCTGCGCTGGCAGACTTTACAACCGCGGGCATACTCTATACAGTCAGTTTTCATGCCAGGCCATGTATACGACATCGATAGGTTGACTAATGTTTTTTGCCATCCGAAGTGTCCTTCTGTATCATGGCATTCCCCTAGGATCAAACTAAGGATCTCTTCACCATTGGGAACGCACAATCTATCAAGAACATTGGCCTTTTCAAAGAGTAACTGTTTGTGGTCCGATAATCTGGCTCATTTTCAGGGGGTTCCCTCACCTTTTGTAGGAGATCGTTGTAGATCAGGTCCTGAGCATCTTTTATTTTTTGTTGTAGATCTACCCCTATGTCCAGATATGCTCTCCTACTTAGGGCATCAGCTACCACGTTATACTTACCTTTCACGGGCTTGAGCTCAAAGTCAAACTGGTCTATCTTTGTTGCCCACCTGCCCACCTAGTCAACTTGGGTGTCATCTTGGCTTGCGTCTTTAGCCATCGCAGAGTTTCATGATTTGAGTAGGCTTTAAAGTGTTTCCCAAGCAAGTAATGTCTCCAATGATCTAAGGCCTGCCTGAGAGCGTAGAGTTCTCTTTCATACGTCGAGGCTGCTACTTTTTTTGAAGGCAGCCTGGCTGACATGAACTCTACGGGTTTATAGCCATCGTCGTCATTCTTCTGTAACACAGTGCCTATGCCATATTGGCTTGCATCTGTCGTGACGACGAAGGCTAATAAGGGATCAGCTACCTTGAGAACAAGATATTCTACCAAGGCCTTCTTTAACTTCTTTAAGGCCAAGGTACAGTCTTTGTCCCACTTCCAGATCGCTTCCTTCTTAAGGAGTCTGCGAAGGGGAGCAGTGATAGTAGAGAGGTTTCCCAC